ATTCTGCAGGGCGAATGCACCCTTTAGAACTGGTTAAAGTTCGCATTGCGTGCTCCTGTTCGGTCCATGCCACCATATCTGCTCTCGAGTATTGATTACTTACACAACCACCCTCCATCTTGCCAGATGACGGTAACTCTGTGCGTCATTCCATCAAATTGTTTTCATTCTTACTATTTTCTCTGTAAATAGGATTGTCATAAGGTATTATCTAATCTATGTTAACGAATGCTCCATAGTCGAAATCATAATTTTGTTAAAAAAATGTTATTTAATACGGTTCTCCTAAAAACTTGAATAAAATTAAATGACAGTTTCATAGAAATTTGAATTTGCATACATGTTCGCAGTTTATCTATTAACGTCGTAGTAGTTACTTAAAATAATAAGTATTCTTATTTGTAAAATTTGAATTTTATTTCCTTTAATTTTTTCTGTTCTGACTTACATATACATATGTATAGTCGTTTAAATTAGTAATGAAGAGGACATAACATTAACGACGGGGTAGTTTCAGATGTACGCCTCTACTTGAAGAAAATTATTTAAAAATGATTATTCAAATATGTTGCTTTATTGAGCCATATAATTTTTCGAAAAATTTTCTGTTGGTTTCTTCTATGAAGCAACAATTGATTTCTAAACAACTCTGGTATTCCGCTTACCACCAATTGATATTTTATGTTTTCTTAAAAACAAAACTAAGATTATATTAATATTTTTAACAATAATTCTGTAAATATTTGATCTTCTTTGACTGAAAAATGTTCGAAGTCGAATGACCCTGAGTAAAAGTAAATTAACGTATATCTTCATTAAAATTTACAATTCAATTGTAAATTATATAATAGGTATACATGTCGTAAATATGTTTTTTTAAGTATTTGCACAAGCATTTGAAATGTTTCATTTTAAATATTTATTTTAATCTTGCATTTCAAACATTTATTCTGATTTTGCATTTCAAATAATTCATTATCAAACATCTGTATATTTACATTTATTATTTTAAGATGTGGAGATTATTGAAAGTTCTGATTGAGATGTCTCTTAAAGTATTCTATATTAGGGTACGCCCGTAATTGGTCTTCGTGCCTGGAACGCGACAACTCTCTCGTTTGCATGTTACGAAATGCGTTATGAATTATGTAACGTATCTCTATTTCGATCAACTGCAGTTTTATCAACTACGCAGATGGTCTGTTTATACGTTTTTAATTGATTTCTACACTGGGTTTTTGATGCTTTGCAATAAATTGTTGTTATGAGTTATCTATTATAAACATTGTAAACATTATATAGAACTTTGATGTACGAATTTCACCTTCAACATCACAAAAAAACAAGATTATATTCGAAGGACGTGTACAAATAAAGAGAATATATAAACATTTATTTGTGACTTTGTTAAGCTTTTCACTATACTCAATTTCAGACCAATTGGGTACGCTATAAATGCATAAAATCCATAGTCTATTTCTAATAAGTAATAAGATTTATATAATAAGTAGACTGCGGATTTGATGTATCTATAGAATATCCAATTGTCTGAAATTCAGTAGAATAAAAAGTTTCGGAAAATTGATTTAGACGTTCTTTTTATTTCGAACCTATTACAACCCTTAAGAGGGTAAATAAAGTTTTCTTTGCGTCCAGTTACAAGATATCAATTCATAAAATTCTATATTTGCATATACATTTGCAGTCTAGTAATAAGTAACTAGTAATACAACTTCCATCTCCACCAGTTAAGGGGTAAACTTGAATTTTTCGTTCTTCAAAGTCGAAGAGACCCGTTCATTTCTCAGCCCCACCAGTCTATTTACAAACTGCAAGACGCACGTAATCCGTTCACCTTGCGTACAAGAGCCGGGCCCGCGTGTGTAACCGTGGATATCCTCTTTTCGGCTTCACCCCCCTAACATCCGACTCTGATATATTAAGCGCAACCCTTACGTACGCGTTTAACCAATCCGGATCCAGACTTCTCGGAATCTCTGGACGCGTCAGAAGTCGCTCAGAACGACGACGATGGGGAGCGAAAAGCGGCCCGCCGCCGATATTATTATTGTGGTCCTCACGAGGCGGGGTTGGTTCGCATAAAGGAGATTTTATCCGTGAAATTCGTCCTGTTCATTAATTCATACGGACGCGATTTTTGAGCGTCAGGCTCGAAAGGAAGCCGATGTTCTACGCGTTTTCGGGTAAGAAGACCAACATAACAATTTTGGAGTAAAGGAGAGTAATTAATGTAGAAATTTTATTTTGAGAGTTGAATAGATGTGAGGTCATTGAACGAGTATTAGATGCACCAATTAGTAATTGACTATTTTTTAAATTGTGAGGCGACATATTTTAAATTAAAAGTATCTTCTCGATCTTGAGTTGAGTAGGTAATAGTAGTGTATCATGCGAGATAATCACTATAAAGTGAACAAAATACAATAGATCCTAGACTTCTATAGAAACGAATATCGATTCCGTTAAGAAATATAGGATGACATATTGGTACATACCAACAGCTTCCTTGAGACTGCACATACACATTCCAGTGTTGGATCAATTGATTGTAATAATTATTTGACTGTGATTAATAACTTATTGTGAATACGTGAACAGAGGACAGTAAGAGGGTTAAATAAAAATGTATTCCTATAATGAATAATTTTAGTATGTAAAAAAGAAAATATATATAAATAAGGTCTATTAATTATAGACTCAAAAAAGTGATCCATAAAAACATATTACTTGTATAAAGAACCATAATTCATTATGACGTATCAATGTGCAATCGACGAATTATGAAAGAAATTGTCGAATCACGAGGCTCGAGACACGAACCACCGTGGTAGGAGACAGGTTTGGGGTATACCAGACAGCGCGGGGCTTGCAAATAATAGCAGAACTCTTAGAACTTGTTAAGATCCGCGACAACCCGACTGGAGGGACGTTATCCCGTTAATTACTCATTTCACGTTTCAACACTGGCCAGCAGGAACTTATTGCTTTCACGCAGTTTGAAGTAGCCTCGCACGATAAATCACTGACATGTCACGCAAACGGTTTTACATCACGTCAAGCCCGTGTCGTTCGTTAGAGCGATGAAAATTGCAATCAAAATCTGGGTCGTATTTAATTATAACGAATCGCTTCTTAAGAATCGTAGACCCAGACTGAGTGAATACGAGCCTTCGGTTAGCAGTTTAATACCACGAAATGCATCATGTGTACAGTACTCTGTCTCTTTTAAATTGTTAAATTAGAATTTTTTGAATAATATAACATAACGTGAGATAAGATGTAATTATCACTTTCAATCGATCTTAAAAATAAAAATTTTGTATCTAAGTATACTTACACGATGCATTCACATCCCCCTTTATGCACATTAGGATATCTGATTTGTTCGAGAAACACATGTTCCTATCTCTTACATAGGTTGTATGTATGAATTGCATATTTTGCACCGTGTTTATTACTTCATAATAAGATAAAGGTTGCTTATTAAAAGCTTTAAATTAATATTCTTTAGATAATGTTTGTACAGGGTGATAAAGTAAAGGGGTTATAAGACTTTAGGAATTTATAATACTCACCGAGAGGAGTAAAAAACGTTTAATCAACATTGGCCCTAAAGTCATTTCTTTCGGTGTGAAATTAATTTTTATATTTACGAGCGTTCAATATGATAAGTAGACTGCGGATTTTTATACGAGATACGAAAGGAATATTTGAAAGAATGTGTACATCGATCTATGATTCGCAGATATGAGTTTTGTATTGAAATTGAAGGAAAACATGGAATATCTGTAACAAATCTGAAAACGAACTTCTGCATTTTCTTTTGAAAGAATTGATCTTAGGGCTTTTACTCCTCTCGGTGAGTACTATAAACTTCTACAGTCTAAGATCTTTTTTTTATCACCCTCAATGCAAGGAAAATTAAATAGTAAGAAGATGACCTTTTTTTAATTGAAATAAATTTAAATTCATTTTGTTGAAATATGCTTATACATATTTCTTTGAAAATATGACAACTAAACATACACATAGAGTAGGTTTTAATGTACCATCAATTTCTCGATGCAAGATGTGAGTCTATCCCCTTAATCCCAACGACATTCTTTAGATTACTGCCGACTGGGCTGATTAATCTCTTGTGTATGCGAAAACTTCGTCCTTCCGAACCGATGTTTTGGTCTTAGCCGAACGTCGCTCTGGAAATAGAAGGTAGCCTTCATCTTGATCCTTTTTAAAAGTTTTATCTAATTTGGTCTAGTTCGTAGAGTCTATTTCCTGTGGAATCACAAGGCACCACGTGCCTGTGCGCCATTTTCGGCCCTATTCCGAAAATAAAAACAGTTTGAGCGACACTGGCGCCCTTTCATTATCGTCCCGACGAAATGGCTGAATAACGTTTTGTCACTCTTCGTTATTTTTTATTTTTCAACTATTGCATTCTAGAACCTGAATACTCGTTTCTTGTTACATAAATATGTTGTTACAATCGAGGTCTGAGAATATTAATTTGTTATTATAATCGTAAGAATGAAATTTGTGGACAAATTAATTTATGCATTCTTGTAAAGTTTCTTTAAGATTGCCTCGGAGATATCAAATGTAAACATGAATTAAAATTGAATTTTTAATTATAGATTAATTAAATAAAAATGCACTATTTAGTTCCATGGAACATTTTTTAAATATAGTTTACAGCAATATTGATTTGGAAAAGAGAAATTATTTGGTAATTATTGTGTTGCTGTAATACATCTTTCAGATCAAAACAAATAATTAATTAATTGTGTAAATAATCGAATCTGTTCAGAGTCTGAAGTTTCATTAAAATGTGTGACACTTAATACATAATGATTTAACGTTTATCTTTTCATTGTGAATTTTATTTACGTTATACATACTTCCATTTTAATTCGTCCAATTGATTTGGTAACAATAGGACTAATAAAAACTAATCAGTATCTTTTTCTTTTTTGTTATAGTACCAACATGTCACTACAAGACATTACAATGAATTCAACGATGCAAATGACGAATGGTAAGTTACAAATCTCTTCAGGTTCAAGCTAACAGTATACTAACTTCTATATTTTTTTTATACACAGATTGCAATATTAATACCAATTAAATTATAATCAAATTTAAAAAAATTATTGTTATGTGCGTCAATGACAGAAAAGAGAATCTGTTATCAAGAAATTAATTATACATAGAAAAAGCTAGTAACAATAAACGTTTGTTAATAAATTGTAAGTAAATGTTTATCTAGTTATCAAGAAACTAAATGTTTGTAACACTAGTTCTTGAATGTAACATATTCGAAGACACTTAAAAAAGGGGAAAGTATTATTGAAAGGAAACATACACTGCTTGTTCAGTATGGACATAGGATACAGTTTTGGGTTTCATTGGGTAGCTTCCGGTATTGCTTTTTGAAGACACTGCTGAGGATATGTAAGACTCTGCAACTGGACACTTACAGAGTTATAACCAGTACTATAACCGGTCATAAATTCGGCAGTAAGACTCCAAATGTCACAAAAGTACTGCAGCACATACTTAGGAGGTAAAGTTTCGGAATCTGGTAAACAGATGTTCCTACAATGTATATTCGTCGTCTATATGGGGTGTATGAAAAATGTTAGTCAGAACTGTGAGTGCAAGGTATATGCGTAAGATGTGTACATAGTATAGTTTTGTATCGATTATCCTTTAATCATCACCCTTAAATTTCTAAGTTAAGTTCCAATATTGATTATCTCGACATCTCTGGCTAGATCATCTGTTCTCTAGATTCGTCTTTTGGAACTATGTATGTAAATCGGTACATATATATCATGTTACTCATTTTTGAACTAAAACTAACAATAAAATACAAACCTTAACAGAGTTTAATACAGTTACAGTCTAACTTTATTTTTCATCTAGTGAATTAATTAATAGAGGAAACAAAATTTTGTTCAAAATTCTCCAAATTTGATAATAAAAGCGTAAATATTAATAAATCCCAGTACTCTATTTTTTATATATTTTATGTATCGTGCGTATAAATAGTATATTTATCTTCGCAAATGATCCGTTAAAAGTCACGTTGTGATTCAAGGATCAATGGACTCGTTAATGCTTTTATGTCGCAGATCAAGACCGATCGATCATCAGGATGGGCCGGATACAATTTTACGGTCTATGATCGAGGCATACCGTTGCATAAGAATCGATTACGGAGACGTATTTATTACTTATAGTCCCGTCCGTAATAAACGTGTCAATCTACCAGTGTCCCATCAGATTAGCTGATTACTTAAACGCTAGGTCACCGATATTGCTACTGACAATGGAACGATCAGTTACCTTATTGTTATCTCACTCTGCTGCTACAAAATGCATTACTGTTCAATTCAGAGTAGGCCGTAGACCAACCGCAGAGTACTTTTTTATATGAAAACTGAGAGATGATTTCGACATGTAGATATCTCAATTTCGTTTTTTGTCCAAAGTCCGAGTCTGGGCAACAAAGTATGCGCTTGACAGATTCCACGCCCCCTCTTGATGACGCCTGGACACTAATCGTGTACAATAAGCCAGACGATAATCGAGAGGAGTCTGTATGTTTTATTAATTTGATTTTCATTCAGGCTCAATTTACCTAATTGAAGGAATAGTGATCCAATACAGTAGAACTCCACTGATCCTAACTCCATTTATTGGAATGAAATTTTAGTTAGTGCCTGATTTATTGATTTCCTCCTGGGCTTCTATTATCCGAACTACTGTCGAGCCCCCAGTTATACAAACATCTGCATCAGTTAGAATGTACACAGTAATTCGACACATTAAAAAAAGTCACGACCATGCTTTATTAATTCACGATGCATTACGAAATAATTATTCCCGTAAATTCATTTCCAAATTTATAAGGTTTGAAACATTTTTATAACCAGAACAAGCAGCAAATGTGTGATTGAATCCACTTGTCTGAACGTGAGTTCCGGTTATTCGAACGAAAAATCGTAGGTAATAGGGAAAATCACTGAACTCCTATTATCCGAACGATCCTGTCATACGAACTGTTTTATTCCTCGAAAGGGTCCAGACAAGTAGAGTTTTACTGTAGTTTATAGAACAACGCACGAGAGTTACAGTGCCCTTTGAAGTTAAGACGCATTCCGTTGTGAAGCTAGCAACGACAATTCTATTATCCTATGTAATAGAGTCCACGAGGATCCGCAGGCGGTAGCGTCTCTGTAATTGCATCTATCGCGATGAAAACAGGGCAACGAACCTGCTTCCTCGTGGTTACAGCTATTTTACGTCCACGCCGACGCAGACGTAATCTACCGTCTGCAACAGGGGTGATCACACCATCCTGGGTCTCAGACGTTATCTTCCACCTCGTATGTCATAAACAACGTCATCTTATTTGACGAAAATTAATCGATCCTTAGGTATATCTATTATCATCGTAACTTCAACTCTGACCTGTAAAAATTTTTATCGAACCACAAAGAGTTTTCTACGATTATTCGAGAACTATGAACAATCTAGCTCAGAGGTAGCCCCGACGAAGTAGTGGCTAATAGCCAAGTCGCGGTCTGGCTAGGCTTGGCCACCGCTGCTTTATAGTAACGCATAAATTTGGCCCTTGGTAAACGAATCCGTGCCAGAGCTGGCCGACATTTCGCCCCGGTCCCATCCACGTTTCCGTGATCCAAGATCTATAGATACGATCGCACGTGCCCGTCGTTCCGTCCGTCGTGCGTTTTGTTATACCGTCTCGCGAAATACAACAGCTGTTTCCCGGCTCTCTTTTAATTCCTCGACGAATTCTACAGCGGTCCTCTTGTTCACGGTATCGGGATATTGAAATCTCGATGAACGTCGGTTGAATTTCGATGAACGGGATTAATTAAACGCCACAGACCCTCTTTTGTGGAGAGTCGCTTGGGGATCGAATAGGGTTTGGCGCGCGAAGAATTTCGCGAATCCTTCGGTGCATTGGAAATGTTAATGAATGTATTTGAAGTGGATCTGTGGAAATGTAGCATTGTAGCCTTAGACGATGATAGGATCAATAGTTTACGGTGGAATTTTAATTGTATTGCGTCGGTTTTCAGTAGGTACTGGGATACATGTATACTCTCGTTCGTTAGGGCCCTTATCAGATACGTAATAAATGTTGCAAGGGATTACGAAATTGATGGAAGTCTGAAATAAATATTGTTTAGATGACATTAAACCTCAACGGACAAAGTTTATGTTACTATAAAGTTATAAACATGGTCTAAAATATATAATTTTTACGAAATATCACATTTTCTTCATACAGACAAAATTATCATCTTCCTCCTTCGCCTTAAATGGGTGCTAAAAAGACGACGTATCGCCATAAGAGAGGCAATAATTAAGAAATCGCAAGAGAAATTAAACTTTAATTTCAGTGTCCGCTTTTTACGTCGCTTTCGAGAACTGGAAAAAAGACTTTAAAGATGTGTAAAGGCAGAAAGGGATTACCTTCATGATGATCGTCTGGATTTATAGTGGAGTATGAACTCCATTTATGCGAACAAAATTTTAATAGTGCTTGATTAACTAAATTCTAGCTAAGTTTCGCTGGAACGAAAAATTATAGATGGTGGCAAGAAATACATAGACTCCTATTATGTATACAGTTGGCCATGGAAGTATTCGGTCAGCTTAGGCATTAAGCGAATTTTGTATGGAATTTTAATTAGGTTTGCAAATAAAATACTATATCAAAACCTATTCCTAATGAACATTTATTAATTTATTTTACAATAAATATTCATTCGGAATAGGTTTTGATATAGTTTTCTTATTTACAAATCTACTGACAATTCCACGCATAACTCGCTCAATGCCCTAAGGTGGCCAAACACTTTCGTGAACAATTGTGTATGTACGACCTGGTTATACGAATCAACTGATCCCCCATAATAATGAACTCATAATAATAAAGAATTATAGGTACATAAAATTCCCGATCCTTGTGATCAAGTACCCTTGTCCCCAGAGCAAAAAGACTTCTGGGCATCCATAGAAAAGTGTTTTTCGCGATCTCGTATTACAGGAAGCGGTGGTCCATTTATTTCGGTGGATCCGCGACGAGAAGCGCGAGGGGAACGAGGTGTCGCGACTCTGTTCTGTATTTATTTCTGTAACACTGTGCTCCTCCGTGGCGGCGTTATTCGCCACCTTCGCGAACATTTCGACGCTGTCCGACGCGATGCTGGCCGACTGATATCAGGCACACGGGGTGCATTGTCCAATCGAACGGACGTTGTTTGTTGGCCCAGCTGGCCCGGCTCTCTTCTATCATCTAAACTTTGCCCTGTGCAGCCAGGAATGCGAAATCTGTATTGAATACCAGAGTCCCTACGAAGCCACTCGACCACCGCTGTTAGGCCAACTTCTCGCCATCTGTGCGCGAATCCTTCTTCGTTGTTCCGCATAGTTTCGGCACGAAAGATATCGATCACAACACGATGTGTTAGAGAACCTCTACTATTCGGACATTTTATTGGAATCACTTCTTGCGTTCACAATCAACAGACAGTTGTGGTGGGTAATCAGACGGCATTCAAAATTAAAGCAGACATTAAAAATTCCCTTATGTATACCCAATTTGGAGCTCAGACTCACAAACAAAGTTAAAAAAAATAGTCTCATACTGAGACGGATAACGAACTCGGAATGGTACGTAGGAAATGCGGAGATACTCACTTTGATGGGGATACCAACAGTACAAGACACCGTATTTGATATCTCGTTTAGACACTACATACACTCTCTTAACCAACCAAATCCTGACATTATACACACTACTTCTCAGATATCCAACAGAAGACTTAAACGAAATCTTCCTCTAGATATAATAGACCGATAAGAATCTCATATTGTGCCTCTTCCATTAGAAGCATTAATGATGTCAATCAATTTTTAATAAATTTCAAATAACATCATGGGACGATAATTTAATTCTATCGTGTGTATAAATAACATATCTCTAGCTTCACTCAT